GGATGGCCCAGTGGGAGTGCTGGATTCAATTCCTTGCCCTGCCACAGGCCTCCCTGTGTGACCTCAGGCCGGTCATTTAGGTTCAGATCCTTAAAGCAATACCATGAACCCTTCTGGACCGAGATCACCAACGAACTCAATGGCAATTAGGTGCCAAAGTACCTTTGGAAGATGTGGGCCTTAGTCTGTCTGTGCCTCAGTTCCCCAGTGAGACCACTGATAGACTGTGAGGCGCTCAGATGCTATGGTGACGGCAGCCATGTCATTACCTAAGATGGAGAGAGTTGCACAGGGTTTGTCTACCTGGGCCAGGTTCTGATTTCCGCCTCCTTTGGCTGCAGTATCGTTGGGGGAGTTACGTGACCCCGCAGCGCTGACGTTCCCTCAGATGGTTTATACGCTAGCTGGTCCGTTACAAGCTCTGTGGAACAGAATCAGCCTCTCAGCCCACGCAGCCACTCTGTTCTTCTCCCCGCAGCGTGTGGAACGGCGGAGGTGGCTGACATCTTGTTCCTGGTGGGTGAGTCCTGGAGCGTGGGGGAAGGGAACTTCCGGCTGATCAAAGACTTCATCTACAGTGTGGTCCTCTCCTTCGAGAACGTGGCAATGGGCAGAGAGGGCGTTCGGCTGGGCGTGGCGCTCTACGCGGAGAAGCCAAGGTGGGGCAAACCTTCATTTCCTGTCAACACAGAGAGTCTCTAAGTCCCACCTCTGTCTGGCAGTGAGGCTGGAGTGGATGTATGTGAATCATAATCCATTGAAAGGCGCATTCAAATTTAAAACAGGAAAGGTGCATTTAAAAATACTGGGGCTTGGTGTGAGGCCCCGCCAGACGCCATGGTGATGGGCAACTGGGGTGACCAGACAGCAAGTGTGAAAAATTGGGAAGAGGGTGAGGGGGAATAGGCATCTATATAAGACAAAGCCTCAAATATTGGGACTGTCCCTATAAAATCAGGACATCTGGTCAGCCTATGGGCAATCTTATGCACCCCTAGCTCTGGCGGTAGTGTTTGAAGGCTTGGAAAGCTTATATTGAATGATTACTTTCATTTGGCTATTCCATAACTCAGCAATGAGATTCAGCTACAAGCTGAAGCCTGGAACCGTCCCTCTGCCATCCAAATATGCCCCCCACTTCCAAAATGGAGGATGACCATACCCTAGATCCTTACACAGCAAAGACACAGCGATCGTGTGCTGGTAGCTGACATGATTATTTAAGGGTTGGGCTTCTCGTGCATTTTTCAAGTTCCGATCTGTAGCCTGCTGGATGGGGGTGACAAAGGCCCAGATCCTCACAGGTTTCCTCAAACTGAATTCAGTGGGAGTTAGGGGCCTGAATCCTTTTAAAAATCTGGTGCAGAGCCAGCAAGGGGGGTGTCCCTTGTCCCAGTAAAACTGTTTTGGGGAAGCTTCCCAATGCTGCTCTCAGTTCCATGCATACAGGCAATGGCATTCTTCGTCATCTCCCTTCCTGGTGAAGCCAGTGGAGTTGCGTTGACATAGAACCGGCATCAGATTGAGGAGAACCAGTCCCAGTGGGCTTGCGTGATGGAAAGCACCATCACCCTCTGTATAGTTTAATAAAGCTTTTTGGATTCAGCTCGGTTATTTCGCACGCCAACGTGGGGCTGTAAAATGGCGGTGTAGGTGCCTGAGCCCGAATGTCTACACTGCAGTTTTACAGCCATGTGAGCCTGAGTCAGCTGACATGAGCCAGCTGCGGGCGTTGAATTGCTTTGTAGACAGACCCTTAGAGTCATAGATTCCAAGGCCCGAAGGGACTGTTGGGATCGTCTGGGTAACGCAGGCCAGAGAACTTCCCCCGAATAATTCCTAGAGCAGATCTTTTAGAAAAACATCCACCCTTGATTTAAAAATTGTCTGGGTTGGAGACTCCACTGTGTTTGACTGGTACTAGTGGTAGCTGCCTTACCCCCTGGGCCCCACCCCTGGAGATCAATATCCCTCAGTCAGTGGCATGACATTTCAGTGGGAAGAAGGGAAGCAAAGAGAGCTGGCGTATCCGCCTGTGATGTCCTTTCACTGACCCTACGTGCCCTCTCCTCTCAGAAGGAGCTGAGGTTTGGAGTGCTGGCCTATGCCTTTAGATTTTGTATTGTATGATCCCTACTGTGATTCACGGGGGATGCAAAATAAACACTCTCTTTCGCGCCCCCCTTTTCTTCCTGCTCCCAGGATGAGTATCGAGTTGACGGATTACGTTACCATTGAGGAGGTGCTGGTGGCCGTCAGGGAGCTCTCGTTCCAAGGGGGCAGTGTAAAAACAGGGGATGCCCTGGCGTTTGTGGCCCATGTGGTCTTCAGTCCAGCAGCAGCAAGAGGAGATGCAGCAAAGGTCAGTCTGCCCCACACGGTCATGGGGTTGAACTCAGGACTTCTGCATCTAAGAGCATGAGCCTTTACTGCTTGAGCTAAAGGAACAGCTTTGCTAGCTTGATGGCAGTAGCAGACTCAGGAACCTCTATACATGGCTTAGCCTCTAGAGGGGGACAAAGAGTCACCCTGCGTTAGGGCCGGTTACGTGAAGAACAGCTGACATGGTGAATGGATTGTGTGTTCCTGGAGGGTCTCCTTGGAGAACATGTAGCCCAGCATGGCAGAGCAGCAATGAAATCGGGCACCGCTGTAATTTCTTATTAAAGAAGCCCTCTTCTGACTGGGTCACCCGCTTCCCCAAATTGAAATGCTGCATATTCCTTTCCCTGCTAGGGACTTTGAATTCTGAAAAGCCTCAAATTAAGACACAGTAGTTCTTGTTTGCTCTGCAGACCCACAAGAGACAGGGCAAAGGGAACGTTGCGCGGCCTGTCTGGCCCATTCTTCTCAGCTGACTGCTACAAGGAGGTTGCTACCAAGGTGGCGCCGAGGAGTGAGCAGTGGGGTACGGAGCCGCTCACTCCAGCCTCTGTTTCTGATCTGGCCCTGGTTGATAGTGGCTTAGAGTGGTTACCATCTGATGGCTCATTGCTGGTCTCAGGACAGTGGGCCATGGGTTCCGGGTGTCTGAGATGCACTCGCTGGGCAGTAGAACGTGTGCGGGGAAGGAAGCTTGCATGGATGCGATTCCTATTCCGTGGAGAAGCAGCAGACTCCCTTTTCCAGGGTCATCAGCCTGGCTCCTTCCTTGCCGGGCTCTCCGAGGAAGCGCCTCATCCGCCGGTAGAGCACGGCGGTCAATCGCAGTATGTGTTGCAAATTGCCCACGTTGGACACCCTGGTTACCTGGCTGTGGCTCTCCTTCCTTGCAGATCGTTGTTTTAATCACAGATGGGAAATCTGCCGATTCTGTTGAAGATGCGGCTGTGGCGCTACAGGACAGAGGCGTGACAGTGTTTGCTGTGGGTAGGTCTGGTAGAAATGAAGACGTTGAGAACGTCACCACTTGTGTTTTGTGTATACATGGTGGAGTGCACACGAATGTGTGCTACATATATATATACACTATAGGATCTACACCATAGAATACTACATAGACCAAGGGCTATACACTACAAAATATCGCATATCCCCCAAGGGAATAACAGCAAAGGGAAGGGCATCTATGCCATGGGAATACACCTCTGAACACTGGGTCTGATTCTCTGCTCCACTTTGCAGGAAGCTGTAAATGGCGACGCCTGGTAGAAGGCAATGGCGAATCAGGCCTCTTGTTTTCCCTTCCTTTCCCCACCCCCGCACCTTTAGGAATTAAGAATGCCGACAGGAACGAGCTGAGGAAACTAGCTTCCACGCCCGCCGAGGAGCATGTGCTTTACACTGAAGATTTCCACTTGCTGGGGAACGTGTCCCCTAAGCTCTCTCGAAGGCTCTGTGTCACGGCCTCCGAGCCTCCGCGCCCCACCAGGCCGGCTATGAACGGTGAGTCTGGGCCCCTGCCCACTCTTAGTTTCTGTTTGGTTGAATCAGCCCCTTTCTCTGGGGGGGCTCCTACATCCCATTAGACTTCCTCTCCTGCATACCATTTATTCGCATCAATGGATTTTTAGGGCATGTGCGATCCATAGGGTTTGTCCACACAGCATTTAAACCTCTGGGGCTGGCCCATTTTAGCTGTTTCAGGCTTGTGGGGCTCACGCTACAGGGCTGTTCAACTGTGGTGCAGATGTTTGGGCTTGAGCTGCAGCCCAGCTGAGAGACCCTCCCCATTCATGGGGTCCCAGAGCCCAGACTCAGGCTGGAGCTGCTTGGGCATTGCCAGCAGATCGAGGGACGTGATCATTCCCCTCCATTCGACATTGGTGAGGCCTCATCTGGAGTACTGTGTCCAGTTTTGGGCCCCACACTACAAGAAGGATGTGGAAAAATTGGAAAGAGTCCAGCGGAGGGCAACAAAAATGATTAGGGGGCTGGAGCATATGACTTATGAGGAGGGGCTGAGGGAACTGGGATTGTTTAGTCTGCAGAAGAGGAGAATGAGAGGGGATTTGATAGCTGCTTTCAACTACCTGAAAGGGGGTTCCAAAGAG